AAAAGAAACAGAAGTATCTAAACTCATATCAGATGAGTGGATTATGCAGCAAAGAAATCAGCAGGACAAGGAAGAGCATTAATGATAACAGGATCAAAGAGTCAATTCACCAAGAACACAGCAATTCTACAAGTGTGTGCAGAACTCAGAGCTTCAAAATACATGCTATCAGGCAGAAAGGAGAGTTGATTTTGGAGCCCACGTTCCGTGGCCCCTCGGCTGGCGTGTCCCCGTCCCTGGTCCTGCTCAGAGCTCTGTCTCCTCTCTTGGGGAAACCATGCCTCGTGAAGCCCGGTCTCCCACTGCTCCGGGCCGGCACCTGTGGCTGCATATAGGGGGCAAGGACCATCAGGCTGATCAGTCTCACCTGAAACTCATGACTTCCCAGCGCGTCCCTCATGCCGCCTGGACCCTGCTCCGCGTTCCCGGGCCACCTCCCACTCTCAGCCTCCACCTCATGCTCCTTTTGGCTCTTCTTCTTCCTCTCTGATGGCTCAGTCTTCGTTATTCTGACCCCCCAAGCCTCAGGCCTGTAACCAGTCCTCTGTCCAGCATGGCCTGACTCACTGCTTTGGACATTGCATCCAATCTCACTGTTCCAAGTTCAAAAATCTATTTGTTTCTTAAGGCCCCCCAACCAATTACCACAAACCAGGTGACTTAAAATGACAGAAACTGACTACCTCCGGGTTCTGGAGCCAGAAGGCTGAAAGGAAGGTGTCGGCAGGTTCGCTCCCGTTGAGACTCTGTGCGGGGTCATCCTGACTCCCCGGCTTCAGGTGGGGTCGGCCCCCCCAACGTCTGTGGCGGCCTGTGTTGCGTCATGCCATCTGCGTCCCTCTCTTCACAGGCCCTTCTTAACCTCCGTATACCTCAGTGTCCCTTGGCTTACGTGGGCACCAGTCAGTAGATTTAGGACTACTCTAATCCCGCATGACCTCCTCTGAACTGATTACATCCTCGAAGGCCTATTTAAAAACATGGTCACATCCCGAGATTCTGTGCACCTCAGTTTCGGCTAACACTATTTGACCCCATACAGTTCACCCTCTGCCTCCAAAAATCCACATCCGTCCCACATGCAGAACCCATTCGGCTCACCTCATTACCCTCCACTCCAGAATTAACTCTAAATCCCAAATCTCATCTAAATACCAACAATTCAAAAAGCTTGAGGTCTCATCACCTACTTGTCCAAATCACGTGGATGGGCGACACTGGGTACGATTCATCCTGACCCAAATTCCTCGTCACATGTGGATCTTTTAAACTAGAAAACATGAGATCTGCTCCCAAAAGACACAGTGGGAGCAGTCGGGCCTTCCCATTCCAAGAGGGAGAGGCTGGAAGGAATAAAAGTATCATGGGTCCTGGGTGAGTCCCACACTGAGCAGGTGGGGTCCCAGGAACACTTGTCTTCTGTCTTTCTCTGGGGGTCCTTCATCTAGCTCCAAATTGTCGGACCAACCAGGGCACAATGACCCTGAGGTCCCCGGGCCCAGACTGCGGATTTCCAATGCCACCAGCACCCCCTTCCCAGTCCACTTTATCAAGTTCCGACCTTCCCTCTGAACCTCAGAATTCCATCTCCCTCAAGAGACACCATCCCTTCCGAGCCCCCCAACCCCTCCAGGCACACAAAGCGATGGTCTTTGCGTACACACACCCTTCCTCCCGGCTTTTCCCCTCAGCCAGGCTCTTCCACATCTGGTAAGACTCCACTGGAATGCCACCATCCCTCTGAAGCTACTTTTGACCGCATAGGCAAGCCCCTCCCGGGACAAATACGCACTGCCCCCCACAGTCTGGCCTGGCCAGCCTGTGAGACCCCACAGCCAGCGTGAGGAGGTGCTCGGTAACTGTGAACTGAATGGACAGCTGGACCCTTGCTGCCTTATCTGTAGGTTACGGCCATTTCTAGCGTCCTCATCAGCAGTAGCACCCTAATGCAACCCCAAAGCCTGAACACAGACCTGGGGGGCTCACCCAGCAGGAGATCTGACGGAGGGACAATTAGGCTCCCTGTCCCCACCCATACCTCCCCTAGCAGGAAACACTGAAGCTTCAGACAGCGTGCCACCGAGTTCTGAAATGAGATCCCCCACATTCCTTGCCTCTGGGAGTTAGGACCTTCCTGTTCAGAGTCCCCTGTGGCAAGTGAGCCTGCCAGCCACAGCTCTGGGACACAGGGAGGACTCAGTGCTCCTGACGTCCGTCCACACTGCGTGGGGAGAGAGACCCTGGAGGGGGGGTGGCGGATCAGCCAGGGCCTGGGCAGAGGGGAGACCAGGAGGCTGATGTCATAACGGGTGCAGGTGCCTGTGATCAGCAGCAGTGGGCTCAAAAAAATGAGAGCCTCACGTCATGTGCTTACGATGACAGGCTGACCCCTGTGGTCACTAACCATAATCAGGCCAACTGAATTTTATTAGGGAAAAGGATCTATTCTGCTTCTGTCCATTTTCCCACGGCTGTACGTGACTCTACAATCATTAAGCAACTGTGTGCCGGGTAACTTCGAAGGGGTGGCGGGGACCATCTTTCCACTGACTGCCCTAGTTTATGCTAATTAACCACCACCGCCAGATGAATCAAAGTCGGACAAAATCAACTAGCGTGATGCAAAATTTAGTTTTCCGCCCATCCAAGTCCCCCCCAACAGTTACAATCTGGGGGGAAGGGGGATCCCTGCAGTTTTGTGACATAAAAATGAGAGCATATTGAAACATAATTCTCAGGGCTCTGGAGTGGCTCTCTCATAATCTCATAATCTCTCAGTGGCTGCCCACTGCCGCGGACCCACGTGGCTGTTGCAGGACTTCACGGAGAAGGGATGACAGTCCCACCACCACCCGTGGTCGTGACTATTCCTGAAACTTACGGTGGAGGCTGGGGTTGCCCGCGGGCGCGGCGCCCGGCTCTCCGGCGCCCCCTAGGGCCTCCGCGCGACACCGGCACCTGCTCTCCCGCCGCTGCCCGGCGGGGGCTGGGAAGCCCAGGGCCGGGGAAGGACCCAGGTGTTCTCCTGGAGCTTCCCAGCCGCCACTCGGGACGACAACGCTGCAAACGTGCCACGCTGCCAGGTGGCCGGCGCGGCTCCCGTGTGACACTGTCCTAAACTCAAAAGCCGACCTCAGGGATCTTTGGCTGCACAACCGGCTCTAGTTTCAGAATCGAGGTCTCCGTGGATGTAGCAACCCTCAGGGAATTTTCTGCTTCCCCTAATTTCCCAGTGCAATCGGAGACCCTGTTCTCGGGGTCAAAGCAGCTGACATACAGCTCCAAGCAGGGCTGCATGGGAGTGGGGCAGCAGGGAGGTCGCGCACAGTGTACGGTGAACAGGGCGGGTCTCCAGAGCCCGGGCGCCAGACAGGAGTGCGCGCCTCTGCGGAGCTGGGGACGCAGGCCCCTGTGTGTCTCTGATCTCTCCTTGGAGGGCCTCAAGTATGACTTCTGTTTTATCGGTTGTCTGTGTATTTGCTGTGAGCAAACTGGTCTTCCCATTCTAAAGAAGGACACGCGCGCACACACCTACCTCTGCACACACCTACACACAGCGAGGGCAGACAGACCGGGGGTGCAAGCTAGCTTCACCCACAGCTGCACAGGAGGCTGGCCCGGGGGCAAGGGGGGACCGCAAGGGGGTCCTGAGGTGCGGTTTCTACTGTAAACTGCACAACGCCCCCCAAGACACCTGTCCACCTCCTAGGGCAAGACTCCATTTCCAACACTGTCCAGGTAAGTCCCCTCCCGCGGGGGTCTCTTCGGTTAGCAATGCTGACCCACGTGCTCTCGGCAAAAGAGCCTTGCAAAGGGCAGTTCCAGATTCAATCCTGGACCACCGGCGCCCTCTGTTGGTCGCCTCGGGAAGGAGGCGCGCAGACACCTTTGCAAACACCGGTCAGGACTTCACCGTGGCGCGCAGACAAACAAGGGAGAATCCCAAACAATCCCCACTGCGACGCCCCGGAGAGAACTCACTACAGGGATACAAGGTGGCCTGGGAAAATGATAGTAAAAATAACCAGTTGCGAGAACTATTCTGTTATTAACGACACCTCGGCAGTGCTCGCTTTACTGCTTTTATCATTGTTTTGTTTGGGCCGTAAACTCTACTTGAAAACATAATCAGGGAGAATACCTATGACCGCAACAGTGGTGATGTCCAGGCTCCGACAAGCCCTGCTAAGGACCCATCGCCAGCTGGGGGCTTCTCGTAAAACACCCAGGGAGGCTTCACGGCTGCCTTGGAACGCGTGAAGACCACGTGCGCACCGGCAGATGCGCATTTCTGTGTCCCGGGAGGCAGGGAGGCAGAGGGAGCGAACGGCCCCGCGGGTGCAGAGAAAACCAGAGACCTCGACGCGAATCAGGTAGTCCCACTCAGAAATGTCCCACGACCTTCCCGACCCGAGGACTCAAATTTTGCGAAGCTCCGCAAAGTACACTCGGTGAGGTGCGGAGCACGCCAGTCTCCCGGACACCAGCTCTCCACCGGGGCGACCTCACCCACGCCCGCAGGGAGAAGGGCGGCGGCGGCGGCGGCGGACTGGCCAGGGGCGCCAAAGACGCCGGCGTGGCCGAGGCGCCCGGGTGGCCAGAGGTGCCGGGGACGGCGGGGTGGCGGGGCTGTCGAGTTCCCCGGGACGGCGGGGTGGCGAAGGGACCGGAGTGCGCGCGTGGAGCAGGTGCCTGGGCGCCCGCGCGCTGCGCGCCCCCGCCCCCAGTCCGGCGGCCCCGGGTGCGGCGGGAGCCCCGAGCCTCGTGTGCGCCGGCCCGCCCCCTCCCCCCCCATCCCGCGCGCCGTTCCGGGGCGTGTCCTCGGCCACCCGGCTTCTATATAGCGGCCAGCGCGCTCGGGCCGCCCAGATGCGAAAACGGCGGCGCCGCGCTCAGCACTGGTAGCTGCCTACCCCACTCCCGCAGCCTCGCACCGCGCGCTTTCGCCCGATTCCTGCGCGCCCCGGCTGACCGAGCAGCGGGCCCCCGCGGTGGGCGCCATGCAGCGGGCGCGCCCCGCGCTCTGGGCCGCGGCGCTGACCGCGCTGGCGCTACTCCGCGGGCCGCCGGCCGCACGGGCCGGCGCGGGCTCGGCGGGCGCGGGCCCCGTGGTGCGTTGCGAGCCGTGCGACGCGCGCGCTCTGGCGCAGTGCGCGCCGCCGCCCGCCGCGTCCGCGTGCTCCGAGCTGGTGAGAGAGCCGGGCTGCGGCTGCTGCCTGACGTGCGCGCTGCGCGAGGGCCAACCGTGCGGTGTCTACACCGAGCGCTGCGGCGCCGGCCTCCGCTGCCAGCCGCCGCCCGGCGAGCCGCGCCCGCTGCAGGCGCTGCTGGACGGCCGCGGGCTCTGCGCCAACGCCAGCGCCGCCGGCCGCCTGCGCGCCTACCTGCTGCCAGCGTCGTCCGCGCCAGGTGAGCCGCCGGCGCCGGTCGGCCCCGGACGGGGGCCGGGGCGGCGCCGCGCCGCTGCGGGGACCCCCTGCCCTCCCCGCCCCCGGTGCTGTAGGCGCGGAAACCAAGGCCCCGCGAGCGAGTGCGCTCGCCGCGGCACGGTCTGCAGCCGGCCGTCCACGCGCCGCGTTCGCCGAGTGCGGAGTGCTTGCAAATTACTAAGCGCTTTCGGCAAAACTGGGTCAGAGGTTTCCCGGGCAGGGAGGGGGAGGGTACGAGGTTGTCATGACCGATCTCATACCGACGAGCATCTCCCCGCCCTTGGTGCGGGCGCAGCGCGGCAACGTGAGCCTGGACCGTGCGGCCCACCTCGGGAATGCGGTTTTCGTGTCCCACAAACTGGGAGCGAGCGTGTTTATATTCCAAGCGGAGGGAGCTGGAGGACCAGGGAGGCGGTCGGGGCGAATTTGGACTGGAGAAGGTGGGCGGGCACCTTTGTAGGAGATGGTGCTTGTCTTTAAAAATTCGAACATTTGCACAGACTTTCGGTGTGCGAAGCAATGGCACGTCTCGGGGTACGCCAGAAGCAGTAAGGTGGGAACCGGGTATTGGCATCTTTTGCCTTTGGGCAACCTGACGTCCAGAAGGTAGTGCCTCCCCAAAGTCCCCCAGAGGCAGAGAGGAACGTGGGGGCTGAACCCGGTTTGCCACGTCCTGCCTCGTCCCCCTGGTGCGCCCCATCCGCCCCGGTGCCTGGATGGCCCCAGACCAACGCCAGGTGCGGGGCCTTCAGGGAGTGTGCACTCAAAAAAGATTTCAGTGATGGTGCAGGGGAGTGGAATAAGCCTCAGGACTGTATGGCCCTTAATCCGAAGTGGAAGGGATAGGGTCCGGTTCCTGGGAGCCCCGAAAAGACAGAGACTCGGCCACTGCCCCTCGCGAGGCTCTGAAGGACATCACGCTGTTCCCAGAAAGCAGTGTAAATGGAGTCTGCAGTTGTTGCTCTAAATTCTCCAGCAGGCTCAGCCAGCCTCCCTGGGTTCTGTGAGTGGAGCTCCTGCAGAGCTGGAGGCCGGGAGAATTCTGCCCTGGCCTCCAAGGCACCGGGCTGGACAGAGCTAGTGGGCAGGCTCCCACCCTGGACTGACAGGAGGGCAGTCCCCTTGTAATTTCAGGTTGTGCACATTGCCACGCCCGGGTGAGGCTCTGTCTTTGCTAGGCAGGGCTGGCTCTGTGGATCCCAGAGAAACAAACACCATTCCAGGATTGGTGAGAAGGCAAAATTCCAGTTGCCTAAAACGTGCACCGCTGTATCGTGGTGGATTTAAAATCGCCAGGTGCATTTGTCTCTTAGGGCAACTGCGGCGTTTGCTGTGTGCACTTTATTCTAATAGCGTGTTTTCTGGGTATTCGAAAAGTGATCTGAGAAGCTCTTATAGACGCTGCCGATTTCAGTGACCGGGTTAATGGGTATATTATGATTACTACTGTAGTAGCTCCGCAGTATGGGTTGATGTGTTTAACTAAAACGTGGTTAACAAGCCTGAGATTTTATGAGACTTATAAAATCTGTGGGGGTGGGGAGGTACATTTAAATGGCAGTCAAAAGTTGAGATTATCTGTTGCTTAAATGCAGAGGTTTTGTGTTCCTGCTGAAGTCAGCAGGCATTAGAAAGATAACCTGGGAGGTTTAAGAAATTACTCAGTTCTTGGAAAAGAAATGCAAATATGTTTATTTACATACCCTTAGCATCTCCTTTGTTCCCAGCACTTCCCTGAAAAGGAAGGAAAGAAACCCTAAGGTTAAAGGACATTGAAACCAAATTCTGCCAATTAAGAACCCACTGTATCCGGCGCTGGGCTAATCGGTGCTTCCCCAGACGCCAAACTCCTTGGGAGCTCAGCCACCCCTCCACCTCCAGGGACTCTCCTTCCCAGGGGAGGAAGTGGAGTCCCCAGGGAGGAGAGGGTGTCCCCCAGCCCCTGGTGAGTGCACCTGCCCTGGGCGCGTCCTGCAGGGATTCTTGTCCTTCAGCCAGCCTGGGGAGCGTCCTCCACGAGACATTTGCCCCTGTCCCCTAGAGCCGGAGGTCTGAGCCCGCTTCCCTGTGGGCTGCCACTGTGCATGAGGGGCAGGGCCCCTGGAGGGCGCTCGGCACCCCCAGGCGTGGTAGATTGAGGATCAGATGGTGAGCCAAGCCCCTCCCAGGATGGAGGCAGGCTGCTCGTTGAATGGAGCGATCGTGTGACCCACAGGGGATCCTCAGCAGCTCTCCCCCCGTAGCCACCTCCACTGTTCATCCTGGAAAAGGAACCCCGAGAGCGTGCTGGCCCCATATCAGCCCTGCATGTAGTCCATGCACGTGAAACCCCAGTGACAGCTGCGGACAGCCAACACCAGTGTCAGGGCCTCAGTTCTCTTTATTTTAGTGTGTGGGTCACAGAACAGTGGCGGGGGTGGCGGGGGGGTCCCTCAGGGAGTGAGTGCTCCAGCACGCACAGGGTCTGTGCACCTCCTCAGGACGTTCCAGCCCATGTGTGGACAGTGAGTTAGAGATGTGACAGTGGGACCCGCCACACAGTGCCCAGAGCCAGGGGAACTGCAGCCAGGCTCAAAGGGGAGTGAGCTTTCCCCTGGGCCAGTCTGCCTGGTGGCACAGGACAGCGGGGGAATCAGCCCCTGCGGGGCTTGTGGACCCCCACCCAGGTGGCTGTCCCCACCCGGCGCCTCTGACTCAGCAGGGCTGACGGGTGGGGCAGAGAGTGTACTGGTCCCCCAGTCCTGGGAGGCTGCACTTGGGGTGGCCTTTGGGGTCTGAATCCTGGGCACCGTCCCTCCTCGGGCGTGCCCCCTGCTGGCGGAGGGTGACAGATGCTGCCGGATCCGCGATGAGAACCCTTCCCTCCCCCCCCTCCACCACCACCACCACTGCTCAGAAAGCACACATCAGATTCCTTTCTAGAAAGCGGGCTTCCAGTAGAGTGACAGCCGTCCACTGCTAGTATCGTGGAACAGTACTTAATCCAGGTGTTTTGGAGTTGCTGGATGACATTTCCGCCTAGCTGGGACTTGGTCGCTGTGGTAATATTTTGAAAAGACTGTTGCTAACTGCGGATGGCCGTCACACCCGTGTGCCCCTTGCACTTTTCAAGGAAACAGCAGCGAGTCGGAGGAAGACCACAGTGCCGGGAGCGTGCAGGGCCAGGCCCTCCCCAGCACACACCGGGTGCCCGAGGCCAAGCTCCAGCCCCTGCACACCAAGATGGACGTCATCAAGAAAGGGCACGCCAAGGACAGCCAGCGTTACAAGGTGGACTACGAGTCCCAGAGCACGGACACCCAGAACTTCTCCTCCGAGTCCAAGCGGGAGACGGAATACGTGAGCCTTCTCCTCCTGGTGGGCGGTGGGCTGAGTGTGGGGGGACCCTTCGCGCTGCGGGATCCCACGAGGGTCCAGGTGGAATGACGTGGGTAGGAGCGCCTCGAGGCTGGCGGTGTTCTGTTCACCTGCTCTCCCAGTCCCCTGGCCCGTGGCCACTCTCTGCCCCCCGGTCCCGGGCCTCGCTCTGGGGACCTCATGGGAGACGGGAGCCATGGTTGGGGGTCGTGGGGATCGCGTGGCAGGTCCCTCCTCGGGTGCATGGGATTCTCTGAGGCCGCGCGCGCTCCCAAGTAACCCGTGGCTCTCCCCACAGGGACCCTGCCGCCGGGAGGTGGAGGACACGCTGAACCGACTCAAGTTCTTGGACATGCTTAGCCCCAGGGGCATCCACATCCCCAACTGTGACAGGAAGGGCTTCTACAAGAAGAAGCAGGTGAGTGACGTCCTCACCAGCTTCCCTCCCCCCTGACCCGCAGAGCCGCGCACCGCCGCCCGGGGGCCCTGGGTTACCTGAAGGGACACGGGGAGACGTCGAGAATGACCGTCACAGGGACATGAGGTCGTGGGCCAGAAAGCCTCCCTGAGATCCCCTGTTGGTCCCCCTCCGGCCCGTCCTTGCCGGGAGTCCTGGCACGATGGGGGGCCGTTAATTCAGGCCAGGCTAAGTGCATCTCCGGAGATGAACTGTTCCGAGACAACAGCATCCCAGGCGGCTCTGCACTGGGACAGTTCCCGCCACGGTGGCTGCAGAATGATCGAGGCCATGGGCCTCCTGGTCTCTGTCGCACCTGTTTGCCACCAGCCATTAGGCAGCAGCTTACCTGCCACCTGCGTATTCCCATCAGTCTCTTGCTCAGCAGAGCCGCGCTGAGAGCCCATCTATGCGCCTTGGCGAGCGCTCTCAGGTGCCCCGGGCAGGTGGGACGTTCTTATCCCCGAGGGGCGCAGAACTGCCCCAGCCTGCTTCTCCGGAGAGCCACCTCCACCCCCCCCCCCCCCCCCCCCCCCCCCCCCCCCCCCCC